GCTAAGTATTAATCCAAGCTAGATAAGGGCAACAAAACATCCACGGATGCAGAAGATTTCTCTCAAAACGGGGGGTGAAGTTCTAAGCCTCACCTCTGTTGATCCCCAATTTCTCACCTGATGGCCCCCCTGCGACTGTGCCTGTCTTAGGTTGTTCCTCCCTTGAGGAATCTTACCCGTCTCTGGCTAACCAGTGTGACTGGCTTATTTTGTAGCATAGCATCCTCAGGGTTCATCCATGTTGCAGCGTATGTCAGAATTTCTTCCATTTTTAAGGCTGAATAATATCCTATTATACGGCTATACCACAGTCTATTTGTCCATTCATCCACAGATGGAAACTTGCGTTGTCTTTTTGGCTATTATGAATAATGTTGCTATGAATATGGGAGTACAAATATCTGTTTAAAATCCTGCTTTTAATTCTTTTGGGTATAAACCCAGATGTGGAATTCTTGGATCATATGGTAATTCTATTTTTAAGTTTTGAGGAAGCACCATATTGTCATTGATAGCGGATGCTCCATTGTACATGCCCAGCAATAAGGCACAAGAGTTCCCACTTCTCAGGATCTTCACCAATGCTTTTTTCTTTGATCAGAGCCATCCTAATGGGTGTGAAGAAGTATCTCATTGTAGTTTTGATTTGTTTGTGTTAGATAGTTTTCATATGAGGAAGGTGAGCTCAAAGTTCCTAAGTGGCCAGGTAAACATGGGCCCAGAGGTTTCCAGAGTGAGTGACACTCTGTCGGGTGTCCAGTTTGAACCATCAACAAAATCCAGAGCCATATAGTAAATATGAACAGATTGGTGGTAGTTGCTCCCTGGAGGCAGATAATGGTTTGGGACCAACATGATGCTCTCAGAGTAGGGAAGACCTGGAAGAGCAATTAGCATCTTCTGGGTTAAAGATGCCAGTGAAAACCTTGTAATTGGGAAACTCAACCATTAAAGGGGGTTCAGATCCCTAGGACTCATCCAGGGGTTCCAGGTGAAAGACTTCTCATCTAGAAGTAACAGCTCCCCTCAGGAAGGAGTCAGTCCTGTTGACACTTTCAGGTTAGCCCAGTGAGACTGATTTTGGACTTCTGACCTCCAGGACTGCAAAATAATAAATTTAAATTGTTAAAAAAATAGTATCTTATGTATCAGGACTGTTCTATGTATCAAAAAAAGAGCCAGACATAAGACAGATACTGTGGGATTCCACCTGACATGAGGAAACTAGAGCAGTCCGACTCATAAAGAAAATAAAATGGTGGGTGTGGGGGCTGAGGGGGTGAGAGAAATGGGGAATTGTTTGACGGTTATAGGCTTTCAGTTTGAAATGATGAAAAAGTTCTGGAGATGGATGGTGATGGTTGCACAACAGCATGAATGTACTTAATGCCACTAAACTGTCCACTTAAAAATGGTTAAAGATGGTAAGTTTTATGGTATGTATATTTTACCACACACGTAAAGAAACCACATTTAAGGTCCGTGATAATAAGTATTTCAATGCTTCTCTCCTTCAATCTCTCCTCTGAGGGATCCTTGAGGCTGATTTAGAGCAAATTCTAACCCCAGAAGATGTTAAGGAGTCAATTGTGTGGTAATAATGTGCTGACAGCTGGGAGGTATAATAGTGTGTCTTTTCCCTGAAGGAAGAAGAAAATGGCATATTACCACCAGCCCTGGACCAACATCATGAATTCTTAAGGTGCTTGACAAAAAAATCCCAAAGCCCCACAACTTCCAAACCAGGGACCAAATCCTAAAGGGTAACTTCAGGAGCTCCTTTATTTTGGTATACCACAGATGTACAGCTTTTTAAACTGAATGTAAATAAAAATTTCAACACTTTCCCCTCCATCAGAAATGCAGTTATACCACCTGTGTCTCAAAATCATGTGGATTTACCTTCTACGAACACGTAGTTCAGTGGTTACCTTTAAGGATCTTGAGGGAAGAACTTCAAAACAGAGTAGAATGGCCTGTAGCTATCTAGACAAACTTTGACTTGTAGACTTGGTTTATCTGTATTTTTTATATTGATTTGACTGTGGGTCCCCTACCCTTTTCATTTTTATGTAATGCCTGTTAATCCAGAGCATTCTTCAGGAAGTCTATGTGGATAATGGTTAAAAGGTGAGACTGGAGTGGGAAGGACCTAAAACTGCACTGATAATGGGTGTGGGAGATGCTTAGAGGAGGGTTGGACTGTATTTGTATCACTTGAGTGTAGAGATTAGATCAAGTTATATTTTGGCTCTAAAGTGTCACACCAAAATGTCACACCCAAAGTGTGCCTCACTAGTTCTTGATAGGGGAGGAGAAAGATGAGTGGGTGTCCATCTAAATAAAATACTGCCGGAGGTTCATTCAGACTCACAAACTTCTCATTCAGTGGTGAGAACAAATGTATGATTCAGAGGGCATCGCGCCTTCCAGTCAGTATCTTCATGCCCTTTTGGCGTGACCACTACAGAGGGCTGTGTTGCTGGGATGGGATCCTTGAAGTGTTTCATTCTCCCACACAGAAATGGGGACTGGGGAGATTCAGTTTCCTCCTTCATTCATCAGCTCAGGACATCCTAGCTTGGCCCATCTTTGGCCAAGCAGAATTTCACTCTCCAAGGACTTTGAATTTTAAGCCCAGGGGCTGAGCACAGAAGGAACAAGTAGTTGGTGAGTGTTTGCTTATCCTAGTGGCCCATACACTCAGTGCAGTGGGCGCTTTCAGGGGCTGCCCTCTTCCAGCTTCTCCAAGGCCTCCCTTTGGTCCTATACACTCTCCCACACTCTTCCAACAGATTCTCTTTTTGCTTAAGTAGCCAGAGTTAAGATTCTTCAGTTGCAAGCAACAGAAATTGACCAATACACATGAAGGGTGAAAAACTAAACCATAACTAGTTTTTTAAATCCCAAAGATCTAGTAAATCCCATTCTGTCAAAATAGATATTATATAAAATTTGTATTTTTAAGTTAATAATGTAAAAAAATAAATAAATATAGGACTACATAGTATGTATGTTTTAATACACATAAATATATTTTTAAAAATTAAAAACAAAATTAAGAGTGGAAAAAAAGGACCCTAGCATTCCAACACAATTATTTTTATGTTAACGTTTTCCCTTCCAGTTTGAGTTGACATACACATTTTTATTTTTAATTTGACTAGGATCAAATTTTTTTTTTAAACATTTTAGAACATCACTTTTTCCCCCCTATCAGGAGTCTGAAGTTGAGGGGAAGGCAGAAGGTGAGATGGTTTATAAAAAAATTCTTTGAGAGAAAAATTTTTTAAAATTAAAAAACGTTTGAAACCCTAGTGAGGTTAGACACTGTTGCCCAAATGGTCTGACCCTGTTGACTCAAAGTACTGTTAGCCTCTTTTCTCTCCTCTCAGTTAACTATTTTTTAAGTAAGATTGCATAACAATGGGGGTGTTTGTAGTTTAAAGATACTGATACCAACTTGTCTAGCAAGGTTTTAAAAAGAACTATTTGCCTATTATGCATGGTTTGGGTGCAGAGAGATGGCGTTAGTCACCTTCTGGCTGGGTGCCCATGTGCTTGGACTCAAGTGCGTTGGGGTGACTGGCAGAGCAACAAAGAGAAGGAAGGAGGGACTGCCTCTGCGTCAGCTTTACAAAGTAAAAGCTGAACTGGAATAACTGACCCTCCTGCATTTACCCCAAGGGTGCCATCCATGTACCATAGAAAACATGCAATGGCTTTTGGTTAACCATATGCAATCCATAATTTAGCTGCTCTTTGTCTGAAACATGGAATGATTGTGTTTAATGATAATAGCACTTGATACTTAGGCATAGGGAAAAAACTGGGGTTGAAGTCATGAGTCCTGGGCTCCAGTTCTGAATACAAGTCATGGACTTCCTCTGTTCCTTAATGCTTCATCTGCCAATTCTTCTCATTCCTTTGGGCTCCCAGTTGGGCTTGGGTTTGATAAATTAATAGCTATATAATGTCTTTTTTGGTGGGGGGAGGGGGTGAAAGGGTTTATACCCAACTTTATTCCCACAGTGGCAGGTTAGTCACTAGAATCCCGTCCACTCAGAGCAAGTCTGCATGCAGCAAGCGGGTCTCTGCCTCTGGGCCTTCTGTTCCCACAGCCTTCTCAGTCTCTGTCCTTGGTGCTGCCACCACTCCAGTCTCTGCTCTCCCACAGCCTTGGAGCAACTGTGCAGCCATGCCACCATATCACCCAGAGCACTGGGCAGAACTCTTTATAAAGAGTCAGCTAGCTATATAATGTTTTTATATATCTTCTTATGTGAGACTTATAACAACTACGAAAAGTTGGTGAAGCAAAAATGGTCAATTTCCAAGTAAAGAACCTGGAGCTCATGAGATTATCCAACTTGTCCTCTACTTTTTAGTGGGAGAGCAGGACTTGGGTACAAAGCCTGATGTGTTAGTTATCTGCTGTATAACAAATTTCCCCCAAAATTTATAGCTTAAGAAGAAAAAACCCTTTTTACTGAACATAGTTTCTACAGGCCAGGAATCTGGAGAATGCTTAGCTGGTGGTTCTGGCTCAAAGTCTCTTATGGGTTACATTCAAGCTTCCACTGGACCTGCATTCTCATCTGAAGGCTCAACTGGGGGAGGATATGCTTCTAAACTGACTTATGTGGTGGGTAGTAGGTTTCAGTCCCTCTGTGGCTTTAGCTGGAGACTTCAGTTTCCTACCACATAGGCCTCTCCATAGACTGCCTGCATCCTTGACCACAGGACTACTTAGTTCTCCAAGGGCAAGTGATTTGAGGGTGTATGCAGGGGGAGAATGCCCAGGACAGAAGCCATAGTCCTTTATAACCTAATCTCAGAAGTGATATGCTTTCATTCCTGTTGGTTACAGAGACCAATCTTGGTAGAATGTGGGAGGGCTGCCCAGGGATCAAGGTGATAGAGCCGCCTTGGAGGCTGACCACTACACTCGGCCATGCTACCATGTGTTCACATCTGAAAGGACATTTGGATGGCAACCAGGATCAGTGAAGTCCTAGCAAATAAAAAAAACAAATGGAAATTTTAGAATTGAAAAAATAACTAAAAGCTTTACTGGATGGGCTCTGTAGCAGAATGGAGCAGAGGAAAGAACCCATTAAATGAAGATAGAGCAATAGAAAGAAGCAATTAAATGTGGAGCTCCAGCTATCAATTTACAGCAAATATAGAAGAGAGAAAAATGTTAAGCTACAAAGATGCAGTCAGCAAAACCTAGACTGAAAAATTTGGCAGGACAGACAACTCAGTTTTCTCTGGTGTCAATTCTAAACTTGCATATGGGGGAACCTATAAATTAAGATTTAAAAGATGATCAAGTAGTCAGAATGTGTGGAGCTTATTTGTATCCTGATTATAACAAACAGATTTAAAAATCAATAAAACACATGATATTTGAGACAATTGGAAACTGGAACATTGAATGGAGGGTTTGATATTAGAGAACTGCTAAATTTTTAAGGTTCAATCATTGTTAATTACAAATGTACTTTTAGAGCTATGTACTGAATGATTACAAATGAAGTGATGTTTGGAATTGGTTTCAAAGTAGTCTGGGAAAGGGGAGTAGAAAAGGGAGAGAGCGATAAGGGGCAGAACTGGCAACATGCTGCTGCTGGTGGGGCTAGTGGTGGGTCTGTGGGGGATCATTATTATACTATTCTGATTTACTTTTTCCTGTGGATATTTGAAGTTCTCCATCATTGGAAGTAAAAAAAATAAGCCAGTATAGCTTCATAGTCCACGAAACTGATCATCTCTTTCCCTACCCTGGTAGTAAACTGGAAGTTTTACTTTTTCAATTGGATAAAAAAGGAGTCTGCACTGGAATACACTGAGCAAGGATAAGAGATTTATCATGCTGAATTCAGTGAGCGGGATTAAATAAATGACAGGGAATGGTGGGCCTCCCTTATCCCTACACCCCACTGGGTAAATGGAGTGCTGTCAACCAGGAGGGTATCCTCCATCCAGGAGACCAGAAGATCCTTCTCTGGGAAATCTGACCATCCTAAGAGGAAAGACCTAACGACACCAACATTGTGGGTTCCATAAGGAAACAATGCAGCCAGATCACCCCCAGG